TCTTTGTTAATAGGAATTAGCCACAGATCGCACCATTGTAGCACAGTATTTAGGTCTTCGATTAGGATATTATAACTGCTATTGGGATAGTTAAAAATTTTAAGATCATCCGCATAAAAGGCATGATCTGATTTTAGAAGACGACTTAAATCAGATATATAAAGAACAAATAAAACAGGCCCTAGGACGGATCCCTGAGGAACTCCGGATTTTACAGCATAATTATTGGACAATGAATCACCAACTCTGACGTAAAAGACACGTTCAGATAGGAAAGCGGATATCCACTTCAAGAGATTACCCTTAATACCTAACTCTCTCAGTTTGTGTATTAGCCTTCGATGAGGAACTTTGTCGAATGCCTTTTGAAAATCTATATAAACAATATCAACGGAATCACCACGGTCAATAGCTTTGGTCCATTTATCTAAACAGTATAAAAGGCATGTCTCAGTGGAACGACCAGGGAGAAAGCCATGTTGTTCGTCAGGTACTATACCTTCATGAATAGCAAAATGAATTATTCTTTTACACAAAATTCGTTCCATTAATTTACAGCAAACTGCAGTCAAACTTATAGGACGATAGTTTTTACGGTCAGTTTTGTCACCTTTTTTAAAAATGGGTGTGACAGAAGATTTTAACCAGTCGGACGGTAAAGAAGTTGAAAGTAAAGACTGGGACATTATGTGAGCAAGAGGCTTGGCTAATTGCAGAGCATATTTTTTTAAGAAAGAACCACAGATATTATCAGGACCAGGGGCACTATGTTCAGAAAGGTTCAATAGCTCACAATAAACTATAGCTTCATTTATTTCTATAGTATCAAGATACGATGATGTCGGGGGAGAACTAGGTAGATTTTGAGAGTCTTCACTGGTATATGTACTGGCAAAAAATTCTGCTAGTATTTCAGCCGATTCAGAGTTGGATTTAGAACAATAACCATCGTTGTTTTTTACAGTAGGCAAAGAAATTTTCGAACACAGTTTGCGTTTAGTATATTTATACACTGCTTTTGGTCCTCTGTTCAACAAGGAATTTTCATAAATTTGTCTGGCCTTATTTAAATCTTTGCTTAGTATATTGGCAAAACTGCGGTGCAACTCAAAATCTTCTGTTTTCTTTGTCAGTTTATATTTTTTCCACAATTTTCTTTTATACTTAACCCTTCGCAGTAAATCCCCTGAAATCTAAGGTTTTGTACTATTCGACTGCTTGACTTTCGTCTTACTGTTGTTAGCAACTACACTATGTATTGTGTTTTTGAATACATTCCACAAAGTTTGTACTTCAGAAATAGAGTAAAAGGCTTCCCAGTTGAGGTGGTCCATGACAAAAGAAACTTGATTATGGTCGATTATTTTGTATAACACTATAATGTCAAGACAATGTAATCAGTGTTGGGGACAGATACTTTTAAAAGTATCTAGATACAGATATAGATATATGGAAGATAAAAGTATCTAGATACAGATTGTTTTCTATTTTTTCGAAATGTATCTAGATACAGATACAAGAAAACAGATACTTTTGAAGCTTTGGCGAATGAAATAACTGAAAACATGTTTATGTATTTTTTTATGTATTGTTTAATGAATTTTTTAAAATTAACAACATTTCGAACGTATTGTCACCTAAATTATTTCTTCTTCGTGTCAGATTTTGGTTTCCTCTGCTAAACACCCGTTCCACAGGTGCAGAAGAAGGGATTGTGGTATTATATTTAAAAAATAAACATTTTACTGTAACATAGTTATTCAAGACTGAAAAATCTTTTCTTTTTTCCTGCAAATACTTAGGCCATCGCTTCGCTGTTTGATGTGTCTCAGATTGTGCAATATTTATTACCTACGCTTAAAAAGAATATTTTTTTGTTTTTATTCCCATACTACAGTGTCCAAATTGTGTTTGAGTATATCTAATAATTATCTCCTACAATAAAATTAATATTTCAAAAGAATACGGGAAATGATTATTCTGTGCTGGAGGTCTGTTGTCGTCAACCTGTCATAAATTATTATTCTTCAATATCGGCTTACGATTTTTTATGACCATGTCCGGTAATCGTCTATCTCGGTGCGACAGGTATATACATTTTAGGAAGAATTGCTGGCAAAATAAGTACAATTTCTTAGAAAGATATTTAAACCCCTTATAGGATCAAAGGCTGCCTGGCAGGCCGGAATCACCAGAGTGCAACTTCAAATTTTCAGATTTTTGTTGAAACTCATTTTATTTTAATCTCGTTTCACGATTTCTGAGAATATATCACGATAAATTATTCTACCGAGGGTTCTAAAAATATCAATTATATTGCCCAAGATTTGCACTTAAACATAATCGGCACATTCTAGGGCAAAACGGACCTGCCAAGCCCGCCTCGCGTTAGGTCCAACAATGAAAAAGTGAAGAAATGACACATGTGGCAACAGGAAAAGATGCTACGTTTGTCTGAAAAATAAAGATATAAAACAGTAACAAATATGCGATTATGCGAGAGAAATGTATGTATTGAACATTCGATTAGTCGATTACCGAACTAATTTGTGCTAATTGAAAAAATTAATCATTATGTAACACGCAATTATTAATTTCTAAAAATAATAACATACCTTAAACAAATATTTTTACTATTAAAATTACTCTTATTTAATAACACAAATACAAAGGGTAAAACGTGGTGAATAGTGAATTGTGGTTTATGGTTTTTAAAATACCATCATACCATGGCTTAGATTTTTTACCCTTCAGGATTATATTTAAAGATGTATAAGTACTGAAGGGTACAATGTAGGAAATGATGGTATTTAAAATATGAAAATTTCCGTGATAGAACACTATTAGTGGACCTCTCACCACTATTTTTGTTTATGTGACCAAAATCACCAACATGAAGTAGCAATAATTACTACTAGTATAACTCAACTAATAACTACTGAAAAAAAGTGAAATAATAACTATTTATGGTATAAGTGAATAAAAGTGAATTTTATCCTACGAAAAAACAGTTCAGCACACGAGGCGAAGCTGAGTGTGATAATGTTTTTGAGTGGATAAAATTCGTTTATTCAGGTGTATCATACAAGATTTTTTCCAATTTCGCAAAATTTTTGAAAAAATGTATTGTTTAGGTAATCCATATACATAAATATTAATTGTACTATTACTAATATGATGAACATTTGAAGAAGGTAAATTGCCTAAGCTGGCTGTACTTTCGTCACGGTCAAATTCAAACGATGCTCCTGGACTTTCATTAGGATTGTTTTACAGGAGGTGGGCTATCAAGCATTGCAAATTTTAGTTGAATATCCACACATCCATAGCAACGAAAATTTCAGAAAATTTTTAGTTTTTTTACTTTATTCGTGTTGTCAATGACAGTGTGAATAAAGTGTTGCTATAAACGTTTTATTCATCCTTGCGATTAAACTATTGTTTTAATAGCGAGATTTATCATACAAAATGAGCATTTTATTAGTAGAAATTGGAAAAAAAAAATGTTTCTGTATCTGCGCCATTAATTTTGTACCTAATAAGCATTCACGTTCGGTAGAAGTAACTGACAGAATTTTTTCTGTGGTTAAGTTGCAATCTTAAGATCACTAGAAATTAAAGGTTGGCATCAACTGTCTAATTTTTTAATTCAAATGTCAAATCTGAATTGTCTGGAAAAAACGAAGTTTTTCTAATTTTAACACGCTTCGTTTGAAGAAAATCCTTAAATACAGCGTGGCAACAATTTCCACAAAAGTAGTCATAAGAAAGCCCATTTTAAAGGAAAAGAAACAAGAAATATTTCGTAGTTTTGAAAAAATTACTGGGAAAAATAGACAATGCGTGGGTAAAACGGAAACAGTTAAACTGGTGGCAGAAATATTTTCCGTAAAGTTCGCTAGTGTTCTCGAGTGTTTTTCGAATTTTAAAATAATACCGATACAACGGCGTCGGTGCCGTTAATATTATACTCAGAATCAGAAAGACGACTGCCCAGATTTATATACCTACATGCTTTGTTGGGTCCGCTCTACAATTGGTTTTTAAGTTTATATAATCGTTATTGTTTTGTAAAAGGGAACATACTCGGCTTGGAGAATAATTATTGTACGTACTACACGTATAAATTTAGGTTTCCGAAGGCGAAGTTTTTCACATTAAATCGCTACCAGAATCAAATTTCTAAAGCGGTATCTCTAATTGCGTGATAGTGGTGAAGATTTACTTTTCATTTTCTTGGATGAGACATGGATGCACCAACACGGATCCATGGTAAAATTGTGGATCCATGATGATGACATCAAAGCTTGTCCTCCTAAAATAACTAGTGAAGAGAAAAGATTCACATTTTTACATGCGGGTTGCTCTTTGGGCTTTTAGAGCGATGCAATTTTCTCCTGGATTCAAAAATAGATTCACCAGATCACCAGAAAACCATCACATTTTCGATATTTGACATTTACTTACTTACATGTCACATTTTCGATACCTAATTTCTGACATTCCAGTTATACATTATACACTAGAACAATTATGTCCGCAGTTACACAGCTTAAAAAAAAAAGTTACCAAATCTAGTTACATCTACCGAACGTGAATTCCTTATAGATACAGATATTTTGTGCTTAAATTCGATTTTATCTAGATACAGATACTAGATACAAAAATGTATCTAGATACTTGATTTAGATGCAAGTATCTAGATACTGCCCAACACTGAATGTAATTTTTTTCGGTTTTGCAAATATAATAACGTGTTCTAATTAGCACCAACAATCTAATAGGTGAAAAATCAGAAACATGTATTGTTTTGATGGTGAACGACATCATGGCGCTATATGTGTCGTTTGTTTCAATTTTCAACCATTATTTTACGTATGAAATACGTCATTGAGAAAATTTTATCAAAGACGGCAGTGCTGTTTCTCACAAATCTGATGTACTCTGAAGGACGTTGGCAACATTTACTTCAACATACATATAATTTTTTAAAAACCTACCTAAAATTAAATTAGTTTCTGTAGTCGTCGTAGCTGGCGGACTCGGCGTCGTCGTAGTCGTCGTCGACGTCGTTGTCAGTTTTATTTCTAAAAAAAAAACTACAATAAATTTCTATTTAATCCAATTATACCACACATCTATTTCATCACACAGACTAATGTTCTTACCATATATCCTCACGGACGCTTCACTCTTCCCCATAGTATTCGATGCAACACAGGAATACGTTCCAATATCAGTCTTGCTAACGTTGTGTATAGTCAGAACCATTATAACCTTGTAGCCGGACTTCTTCTCCTGTGTGGTGTACTTGAATCTGTAACGACAAGAGCACCCCTCTTAAATTTACTCAACAGGTGCAACTTAAGCTGTCGAAGCTTGTAAGGACTAAAGAAAATAAGTTACCCGTTGAGCAGGACTTCATCGTGTTCTTTAACCCAGTAGTTGTTCGAGTTGGGAAAAGCTTCGACGTCGCACTTGAGCTTTACATTAGAAAGGAGTGGGGCTCCGACTAAAGCTTTCTGAACTTGCACCTTAGGAGCAACTACGAAAAATAAAGCTTCAATAAAAAAAATAGAAACGCGGGCGGCGCAGAGCTTTTAAAAGTGTTTAGAAATACATGAAAGTAGCTTTGCCTCTAGGGGATATCGATATTAGACGTAGTGAATTTACAAATTAATAACTACTGCCGTTATTTTAGGTAAATCTGTTTAATTTATGAACATTTGAATTGCAAATGTGTTGTACAGCCACCTGTTCATTATTAAATGGGATATTGTTATATAAAAGGTAATATATCTAATTAGTAATTAGTGTCCCAAATGCTGCTGCAACCCAAGTGAATGAAGTTTTGCTGACGAGGCGTAGGCAAATTATAAAATCATTCGAAAACGCTTCCAAACGTAGGTATTTGTCATGTCAAATTAACGTTATCTAGGTTGAAATAACGTTACACGTTCCAATGCAACGGCAAAGTGTTGCTCTGAATTTGTTGTAATTTCAGGGGGCTAAAACTCTAACATTTTTACTACACCAATTAGCAAAATATAGTCACCAGTTTCAATGTTTTGCCACGTCACTACATATTCAATGATTAGTTAAATTATTAAATTAAAAATAATTACATGAGTATAACTATCATGTAAATAAATAATTGATAATTTATTTAATGAACTAACTACTAACTAATGAAACGTTTGCTAAATAATTTTGCCAAGATATATGTGCAGCAGTTTGGGAACAGCTCAAAGATTACTAACGACGTAGAACCAATGTGCATTTATGCGGTTACTTTGATAATGAGAATAAGAGAAAAACTGGTTCAGTAGTATGTATTTTTTTCTTAAATTGTGTTAGATTTATTCAGGTGTCCCAGATAAAAATAAACGGTGATATATCTTGAGAAATGGTGGAGATATTGAAATTCTGTAAACGTCATAGTTTTTAGCTCGAAGGGGAAAGATCAGTTTAGTACATCATTGGAAATATAGCGCATATATGACGACGCAAACTTACATTTTTTTAAATTGCAATGCATACATATTTTTACGAATTTTTATAGATTATTAAATACGATTACAATGATATAAAACACTTAGATGTTCATTTCACTTTTAACCGATACAAAAGAAAATATAAAGATATTAAAGTTGAGTGAAATAAAGTACTATCACTTTATTTTACAAACAATCAGTAAGTTATGTTTTAAAAACGGTCATGTTCGAAATGTCATCCTCCATATTGGACACAAGACTTCGTATTAGATTGCGACTCGTTCTATTTAATATTTTATCACGCGTTCACAGGGCAGACATTCTGCAATTAACTTTTTTAATTTTTTAAATCGCGCAAAGGTCACAAATACGACAAAAATAATTCTAAGAGCATTATTTGTCAGAATTAAAAAATGCAATCATTTTCGAACAACAGCAAAAAAATATGGTGGCAGTTCAAGATTTGTGACGTTAAAAATTAACACCAGTACTTGTGCTTGTATACTCTTACAAATTCTGTACCGGTTTTATGATCTGTTAAAGTCATTAATTATGGAGGGTTAAACTTTTCGATAAGATGATTAATTTACTCATTTCTAGGAAAATTCGTTTCTTACTACCTGCGTCGCTACCCGTTATATTCCGTTATCAAAGCGATTCAACAAATAACTTTTTGTTACGGGGCAAAAATAAAAAAATAGCCACAACTGAAAAACTGGAGTTGAATAACATTTACCAAATATTTAAAGGAAAAATTACAAAATTTTGATAAAATTATCCTATTACTACCAGAATTCTGCTGTTGAACAATAAATCATTATTGTTAATAAATTTATGTAAAAAAAACATTTTATTTACAAACTATTTAAATTGAAGATTACAAATATATATATCTACCAACAAATTCAGTAGAGGTAGAGGTAGTTTGGGACTTAATACCGGCCTATACAAACGGACCAACTCATAATTAATTTATTTCTCATAATTACTTTGTGGTATTATCCTAATCACTCATTGTTAGAATTGTTAATGGCCTCGGCATCAAGTCTCACTTTAACAGACCGTAAAACACGTACAGAATTTGCAAGACTATACATCAACTTGCATGGCCATATAAAACAACTAGATACAGCTTGTCCGGCGTAAAAAGAAGCAATAGCGCGTAGGTAAAGCCTAAATTCCCTTAGATTTTTTAGCTGATTTTGTATTCCAGTGCCACAACGTAGAGTATTAACCTTGTCGGGGCAGCGCATTATATCTGCGTAGCGGTTTGTTCGAGACTAAATGCACTAAGATATTATTCATTTAAATACAATACTACCCCCAGCACCTACACCGCATCATTTGAGACAATTTTGATTTCAAGAGTCAGTTGTAACGATGTAATATCATTTTGACTGAAAATTATTTTTACACTGTATGCTTCTTCATTTCTATTACACTGAGCAAGGAAATTAACAGTTTTGTTTGTCACAAACACAGTGATTTTAAAAATCCATTCACGTTACGAACACAACTAGATACATACATATTTTGAACGTATGTTTGAGTTAAGTTGTTTTTTAGATACACCAAGTGTCCCAGTTAAAATTTCGCAGCCTATATCTTGAGAACGAATAGAAATATTAAAATTCTGTGAACACCATTGTTTTTAGCTGGAAGGGAAAAGCTGAATTTAGTACCTATACTACAAATATGACGTATATATGGCGTCGGCGCTGTGGGGTGTACCTACTTATATTTTTTTAAACTGTAACCTAACTTTTTTAACCGATTTTTATAGACTGTTTAATAATTGCGATTACAATGATGTACAATACTTTCATTTTCAGTAGGTAAGTATATAAAAAAAAAAACATATAATTTAAGAAAAAGTGGAAGAATACTCTGTCTGATAGTACCCAGTGACAAAAATGTTTACATCTAGAATATCTTTTATACCAAGAACTAAAAATATTGTTCTCTCTTTCGTAGTAGTTTCCGTAACTTCTATAAACAATCTGCTTGAAGAATTTCTGATATTGTAAAAATCTCTCAAACAAAAATTTGTATTTAACATTATCTTTTGAAGTTGAAACACTATTAGTATAATGAAAATAATAAACCAAGACAACGAAGTAATGTTCAATAATGTCTAATGTATCTGCCTGCTTCTTACTCTTATGGACTCATTGACAACTCCACGCATTGAATTAATGAGGTTGGAAAATTGTTTCTTGAGAAACGGCATCAGAAGCCACCTGCACCTCTTGTATTAGAGCCGCTAAAGTTAATAACTCCGCATTATTATTTTTGACTGTTGCAATTACCATTCCATACAGTAAAATTATTTTTAAGCAATTGCTTCACTTTGCACTTGCTTGCAACGAGAACCATGAAAAAGATCTATTAGTAATCTTACTATACTGTAAAAATTCATCACTAATAAATAGAGCTGTGCGGTAGAAATTTATTTATCCCCACTATCCGTCCCATCAGGCCAGCAGTGCAGGCCGCTGCAGTCTTGCCTTCCTCGCCTGTCGCTTCTCATTGTGTATTATTTTTCATAATTCACATCAATCGTTTTATTGTCAACGAGACCGACACTTGAACATTATTAAAATTATTATTCTTATTATTTCGTGGGTATGGATTTTAAAATCATCAACTGATTTTCAGTGAACATTATTTTTCGCGTAAATTTCTTCGCGATATGTAACATCGGCTGCGAGCCACTGGTCTGCCGTAGTAGGGGTCGATTCGAAGCGTTTAAATTTCGGCCGCACAGCTCTAATAATAAATAACGGGTGTCGAAATAAAAAAACCTGGCCAAGAGAGCTGCCTTCTATTTTATTCTTTTTCCGTATGTCGTAGTGTTTGTCATCGTGCTCGAGGCAGCTGTCATTTTGATGTCAAACTGAGTTTAAAGTTTATTAATTCACAACAGTCTATGTGACAAGCGGATGACAGCTCTCAAAATTTATGTCGGAAACGACCTAAGGAAAAAACAAAGCTAGTGACAACTCTCTTGAACCGATTTTTATTTAGACAGCCGATATACGAGCCCTAACAACTAAATATTGGGACAACAAAAAATTTTTATAAAAAAATCACCAAACTTTTTAACAAAAATGTAATTTATTTTAGATAATTAAAATTTTAAAATTACTTCGTTTTGCAAAACTGTTAATGTTTACAGCACAACAAAAACTGAAGTCTAACTCAAACAGTGACATAAAACTCTAAAACAACGTAACATTTTGTGACACATAAATATTGGGACACAGCAAATTCAGTAACTGGTCATATTTCCTTTTGCCTTAATAACTGCAGGAATTCTTGCCATCATACTTTCAACTAATTTTCTGCAATACACAGGAGTTGTTATGGTATCCTATACTCGCTAAATTTCCTGTTGAAGATTGACAATCGCTTGTCATGGATGATTTCCTAAATATTTTTTTATTTCACGCCATACCGTCTATACTAGATTAGGATCTGGGCTATTCGATGGTCAGGGCAAACATTTATATTATTATTCTTTGTAATAAGTGTTGTAGGTGTGTAACTTGAAGCATCATCCTGTTGAAAAATATAAATATCAACAGGATAGACTGCTTCAGTAGTTGTTAATATTTTTTTACAAAGTCTCTTGACATTTGTTTGAATTTGTAATTTCCCTTCCATGAACGTTGTTAACTGGTCTTTAAATTCCGTTAATAGACACGCACCCCCAAACCATTTTTCCGCTTGCAAACTTGACTGATTGTTTAAGATAATCAATATTAAAATTCCTTTTTTATTTCAATAACTCTTTTTCGACTATTATCTCACCCATACATCAAATTTGGACTCAGCGTTATATATTACTTTTCTCCAATTTTTATTTTGGTCATATTAACCAATTTTTCTTATGGGCCGTTTTTAATTGTGGTTTTACTTTAGCCTAACATAATATAAATAAATAATAAAGTTAATCAAAGATCGCTTTATTTAAGATTTACAATGTAAAAACCAAGGCCTGATTTGTGTATCCATTCGTGACAATATTGTCTTGAAACATTTAGTTGGTTATCGCTATTCCAGCAAGCAGTAATTTCTCTTGAAGTACTCCGTCGTCCAATTTTATAAATTTTCATCAGTTGTCGTTGATCACGCGGCTTCACAAGTGGTGGCCTACCGGGAATTTTACCTTTTATTCCTATGGTACCTCTGTCTACGTAATATTTTATGATGTTTACCATCGACGACTAAGCTATTTAGAACAAATCTTCACTTTTTCTTATCGATGTTCCCATGCAGCACTGCGAAATTATTATTTTCAGAAATTTTACTAAAACTAGCCCACCACTAACTATTTTCTTCTAAGTGAAACCAACACTAGTATGAAATGCTACGATCCCTATAATAATGGCAGCATTTACCAGCTACTACGTTTGTATTTCGATGGTATACTTAGCAAATTTTCTCGGGTGTCCCAACATTTAAATGTCAGCAAAAATGGCACATTTTTTATTTAGGTGACAATTTTTGCGCTCTAAGAAAATTTATTAATTTGCAAAATACCTCACTCTCTGCCAAAATAGATGCCCATGCAAAATTTGTATTTAATCCAAACGAATTGAATGATATTAAAAATATGTACCGGAATTTTTTGAGAAATTGTCTGTGTCCCAATATTTAGTTGTTAGGGTTCGTATATTTCGCCAAACAAATATCGACATGAAAGTTACATTTTCGCAGTTAAAAGTTTAAATAGTTTTTCTTTATTTTCACAGTATACGAGTTTAACCAAAATGTTATGTAATCTTAAAAGTTGTCGACAGTGCATAATGCTTCTTATTGTAGACTCCTTTTAGTGTACAAAAATATGTGAGAAAAATAGTTTTGACTATAAGACAATTTTTAACATAATAGGTAACAAAGTTTCTACTTATAGTGTGTAGAGTAAGAATCGAACATACATAAAGTATTGACCAAGCATAAAATTTTGTTAAATGTTGCAATATCAAAAACTATTTTAGATTTTGATTCAAACAGGATTTGGCAGCAAGTAAAACGAGATACTATTTATTTTTCTAGCTGCATGGCCCTATTCCATGACAATTCACACTTTAAAATATCTTGTAACCTCAACCTTTAACGTCATACGATGTTTTTAATGAGATCATAAATTTTACTTACAGTTCACTGAAAGTGTGACCCTTTTGCTGACAGCAGGTGGAACATCGTTACTGGCGATGCATAAATAAGACCCCATTTGCTTACGATCAATTCTTACTAGTCGTAAAGAAGGTCCACTGTACGTATCCACTGAAACAACGGTTTATTTAAAATGTAAGCTTAATAAAAGCCTAAAACGTGACATGAATTTTTGTTAATAATTTCTTATGAAAACTGACAGAGTCGTTTGAAATGTCGTTTTGCTTAAATTTTCAACAAATAGCAAATGCAAAACAAAGATTTATGACGCTGAATTTTGTTTTTTAAGCAAGCTTTTTTCCATAATTAAGTTAGGAAATGTTGGAAAATATTGTTATCAAGAATATGAAAGATTAATATACAAAATTTCTTCACAAAGTTGGGGAGTTAAAAAGGTTTTCATGAACTAATTTCTGGTTTTAAACATTATAGCAGCTATAGTTAGTGTTTACGTTCATCTACGATATATCAACGAAAAATGTTTTAACAGAATAATTACTATAGATACTCCTAGATTTTTAAATTAAAAATCAAGAACTGCGTCATTTTACTTCATTTAGTTATCCCGAGATTTTTCCTGAGAAGCGCCTTCCGTTGGAAGAGAAAATTTGAATAGAACCCCAATGGATCAGGAAACAGGGAAACGGAGATCTTAATTACAAGGACCTGGGTTTTAAGAGAGTGGTCGCTATATTTCATTTCAATTTCTTCGGTTTCCGACTGCATTCGCTTTATATTGATTTAACTGTGGCGTGTTTAATAAAAAAGACTTCAAAAAAGTGAAAAATATTTATTTAAATCGATAAAATAACCAGTTTAAAATACAAAGAAGTTGAGCCAAAGCTAGCTAGTATTTTACTGTTTTTGTATTCTTAAGTGTCTGCAATATTTAGAACAAAAAACAAACTTTAAAATAAGTCCTGTTCTCGCTAGAATAATTTATTGTTTACTTCTCTTAAGTATAAACACCTAGCAATAGCAACTTAACAAGCAAAAAAAATCCATGGTATGAAAGTTTGATCAACAATTTTTCCACTGTTAACTTAGACGAACCTAGCTGAAACAAAAGTTTGCGACTTTTTTGTGAATAACTGAAATCATGAATTCGTAGCTTTTATTAAAAAGTTTATTAAGTCTGGACGAAGGTTGAAATGTATTTCCTGGTAGTCGTAAAAGTCTAACAAAAAGCCTGAAGTAAGTAAAATTTTAATTAGACCTGCTTTCTATAAGATTTCGGCAAAAAATTTAATTTTCATTTATTTGACAACTTGTAAAAATTGTCAGGAGTAACCCACTTAAATACTTTATTTTCGACGTTGTTTTTTTTTGTGCATAACGTATTAATTTTGGTTTTTCTTTTTGCAACATCAAGAATAACACTACTTTAAATTCATTTTCAGTACTTGGGGCAATATTAAAAAAAAAGGTCCAAAGTTATTTAGACATACAAGCCAACAAACACAGATTCTTTGAAACATTATAAAAATTAGTTATGCGAATTATTTTTTTTATTTTAATCCCTATAAGTTAAAATAATCATATATAGTAAAAAGGTACAGGTATAGGAGCATGATATGCGTCGTTTCAAGTGAGTTGTTCTATGAGAAAATTTTGTGATAACGCTACCAACACTTTGTCAAGGACAGATATTATATCAATTTGAATAGATGCAATGTAGGGGAGATAGGGGAGCATTGGGCACTCGGGAGGTTTGGGCACCCCCTCATTTCTCGAAATCTATAGCAGATATTTTTGTTTTCTACCACAGCACTGTAGTTTAATAACTGGCAACACCGCCTATCTAAAACGTCAGCTGTTATTTCACTCGGTTGTCAAGTTATATGCAGTTAACGGTTTATTGGGTGCAGAAGTAAATATTTTATAGTGATTTAGAGAAACGTAACAACGAAATCTGCAAGAAAGTGTAAGTATCTATACTAAATTCTTCTTGTGTGTTTGATAAAGATTGTATTTACCTATCAATTAGGATTCAATATTTGATAAAAAAAAACTCAATCAACTTTATTTGCAAAGTGAGGTTATGGGGAGCATTGGCCACGCAGGTAGGAGGGAGGTTTGGGCATGCCCAATGCTCCCTCTTTTTGGTGTCATACTTTTGCTTTTTTTGCTATGCTTATTGCAATGAATGTCGTAATCGTTTCTTTTCAGGGCAATGCCGTTTACATTTAAGAAGAAAAATAAGCGACGCGAAATCCCTAAAGATGTCATTTTGCGCGCATTGGAAGAGATTTCTAAAGGAGGGAAAATTAAAACTACTGCGATTAAATATGATATACCCAGGTCTAACCTTCAAAGATACATAAAGCAAGGTGGGGCCGTGAAAGATATTTCTTCTAAATTTATCTCATCTCAAATATTCACGAAAGATGAAGAAGAAAAAATTTCAGAATATCTTGTAACATCGTTTAAACTAAACCATGGACTGTCAAAAGTAAAGGCACGCGAATTGGCTTACGAATACGGCATTGCCATTGAAAAGAAAATGCCAGATAACTGGACAGAGAAGAAACTTGCATCCAAAGATTGGATTAGAGGATTTTTCAAAAGACAACCTCAGCTTTCGATAAGGACACCCGAGGCACTTTTGACTTTTTTTAAATTTTAATAGATTGTATCGCTTGTCAAATCAGAATTACATCTCATTTACAATAAGTTAAGTACGTCAGTGAAATTGAAAAAATAAATGGGTAAGACTAAGTTTAGTTTTTTTTTTTTTTAAAGTCTGAAAAGAAGGCAATAGCCCCGCCCACCCACCCCCTCTTTATTTTAGTGACCACTTTTAATATTGTCACTTAATGGCAACATTATCTTATAAGTATTTTAGACAAATTTCTGAAATTGTTGGTGAAATAAATAGATAAATTGGAAACAAAGTATGTATCTAGAGCCCATTAATCTGGTGTTAAATAAGCATACCAGACTTCAGAATCAGATTTAAAAAGCAATATTACCGATGCTCCTCCCACTTGGACAAGCTCCACCTTAATAAATCATTTCATTGGTCCGGAGAAAAAGGGCGGAGTTTACGAATGTACCTCACAATGTTAACTCACATTACTTTTCTATTATTTAAGAGTAAACTCTGAAGGCACTCGTTTTTTGAATGAAAATTAAAATCTGATTCTAAGTCACTTTGTTTCATTTGTTAAAGGTTTATGATAAGAAAAACTATTGTATTACAATTTTTTATATCTTTGTTATATAATACTGAAACATAGTAGTAAAGTGGAGCAATATGTAGCGTATTAAATGCTATGCCCAAACCTCCCTACAGGGGTGCCCAAACCTCCCGACCGCCGGGAGGTTTGGGCACTTTGGACATGTGTTAGAAAATCTTTTGTGACTTTGAGACTATTTATAATACCAAAACTTTTCTTAACAATAATTATTGCCAAATATGTGTGCTAGATATATTTGGAATAAAATTTTGATTATGATAAAAAATAACAGTTTTATTGCTATCTGTGTAAAAAAGTGCCCAATGCTCCCCTACCTCCCCTAAATACCATTAATAACGTACCTACTGCATACTCAAATTTTCGAGAAAAAGGGGTGAGTCTTTCTTAATTTGATCAATAAAGTAAATTGTCCCAGTCCTTAATTTTTTTGAGTTACCCTGTTATAAATAATTCTTAAAATATTTATTATTATTATCTATTATTATTTTCTATTTTTTTTCCAAAAATCTAGAAGTTTAGGGTAAAACCTCAACATAGATTCCTAAACCACAATTGTTGGAGTATGTCATTTTATACAATTTAAATAATGTTTACTATTACAAACTTTCGAGATGATGTTATCCCATTGTTTATGGGGATGATTAGACAATTTTTGGTTAGCACTTTACCATCTACGCGATATTCCTAAAAAATATTTGAAATTTGACGACGGTCGATCCAGTAGTTTTGGAGATTATCTCTCTAGTAAAAATTGACCAGACAAGCAGACAGACCTATTTTTTCGCACTCAAGGGATCATGAATCCTCGAGAAAACATGAAAGTAACTATTCGGAGGATGGATGGTATTAAATACTTCCTTAGCTTAAGCTCAGGAAGTAAAAACAAAAACAGAAAGACTTAATGAGAAATTTCCACTGCCTGGCGTTTCCGGAATTGTGGCCCTATAACTATGCGTTGACAATTGAATGCACATATTTAGACTTAAACGTTAATAGTGTTATCACATAAATTCAACTGCAATGGTGTAAATCGAATAGACTAACCACGCTGTAGAATCATTAACAACCTTGATATTTTCAAAATACGTCAAGAAAACATGCATTTACAGCTTGATTTATTTTTCAAAAAAAGCAGACTGTATCCGCTTTAATATGGCCGGGGATACTTTTGTAAACGTTTCAATTTATATAATTATTCTCACAAAATTTTCTTGTTTCACGTAGCTGATATTTGGGTTACGCGTATAACGTGCTTCCCCCTGTGGGCGTGTAGATTTGTCTGCACTTCGCTGAACTTCAGCTCGCGTTAGTTCGAATCCCATCCTCGTCAACACATTTTTTCTAACGTATTGAGTTATTAAGTTGGTGCGAATGTTTGAATTTTAGATACGAGGGAAGTCTTGTTTGAAAATAACTTTAGACCGAATTATCCATTCATTAATAATGAATTATCATGGAATTTAAGGCTTAATAAACTTTTTAATAAAAGCTACAAAATCGTAATCTCACTTATTCACAAATAAGTCTAAAACTTTTATTTTATTCTGTGTAATGTAGAATTCACTTTGTACAAATATAGCTACTTTGATGTATTATGAATTTCTGATCCATAAATGAAAAGTGATATAAAAATACTTTTTAAAAGATCAGAACATAAATACTTTTTAAGACGCACTGACCTTTTCTTTGTTGTCAAATGCACAAATTAACCGTATCGATTACACAAAGAAAAAAGTTTGCAAAAAAAGATTGCTTCCGAGAGACAAGAAAATTGTACAATTAAACTGGCACTTAAAAGTAATTGCTTTGATTTGAGAACGGTCTCGCTGTTGCCAGAAAGTGTAATCGAGATCCAATATTGAAACAAAACTCAATTACAATACAAATACAAACAGGTTCGATATTTTATAA